CTACATCAAAATTTCCTCTTATAAGGATACCAGATTGGATTAGGCCCACCCATACAGGCTCATTTCAACTTAAATCACCTCTTTGAAGGCCCCATCTCCAAATATAGCCACATTCTGAGGGTGTGCATGGGGGCTAGAACTTATGAATTTGGGGGGTAGGGGAACAATTTGGCCCATAACGTGTATAGGTATTTACAAAATGTATAATTTTGGTACTTGAATAGATTTAACTAATACCTTAGTGTATTTTTAAACTTTTAAGCATCTTTTCACGTACTGTATTTTCAGATAAATATTTAAGGATTAGATTAGTTGGCATTCTAGAGGTCTAGTGTTGAGCAGCTAAAATGATCAAAGGAAAAGGTCTTCATGTGTGTAGACAGGCTGACAGAGTAATTCTTCACACCATGACTTAAAGGGAATCTGGGGAAACAAGGGTTAATATACCAAACATGGTACTGAAATGTGATTAAGAACAAAACCTGACTAAATAGCTTTGTCCTTCAGTGAAGCAACAACTAACTGATGGAAAAGCTCTTGAACCAGAAGCAAAAGGTAGCTGAAAATCTGATTCTTTTGAAGAAAAAAAAGATGCTTTAATTGGCTGGTCTTACCTATCTATACAAAGATGAAAAGTATGGGGAAAACAAGAGTTGGGGGTCAAAGCAGGTGGTGCAGGAGTGGTGGCAATAGCTGCGGAGCCCCCAAAGCAAGCAGAACTGTGGTTTGGGGAGGAGGGGCCTGTTACAGCGCTGTGCTTGCCACTGGGCGTTTGGGCCATCTGAGACAGTGCATACTTCCACGCTGTCTGTGAATGTACAGAACAAGTTCAGTGTTAAAGACCAACTATGACCGCAGAGAATGGACAAATGTACTTTTGACCAATGAGAACAATTTCAGGAGGCTGTGTGGAAGATGGAAAGGTACTTCATCAATGGGTTACTTCTGGTTTTGTCACCTCCTTCACCCTTGTGAAAAATTCCCTAGTTGAAGTTAAAACATGTCTTAAAGAAAACCTTGCTTTACGTTTCTATAAAAACTTGTGTAAGCTTTCACTGTCCTATGACACTGATGCCAGTTCTCACACAATACCAGTGGCTTGTGGGGCAGTGCAGTGTTAAGTAGAAAAACGGACCTGTGTGTTCTGAGAAGTCGCCACTGTGGCCTGTCAACCGGGAGGTACTGTTGTGATTGCAGAAAAAGAACATGGGTATATCGGGCAGAGCACAGATCGATGGTCTCTGCATTCGTGGACAGCGGGGCAACAGTGCAGCCTTCTAGGAAACAAAGGACAAAACCAGATTGGTGCGTTTTATTTGGATCTCTTTGGAAGTGCTAACGATTACAAATTTAATACCTATGCTCAGTGAAGCCTGATGCCTGTGGGAAAGCATAAGCCCTGGCAAATGCCCAGGGTGCTACTGATGTCCCTCCACTGCTCTTGTATTCCGGAACCTTCAGTAACGCCACCTACTACCAGATCTATGCTTTGCCAACTCGCCAGTCCTGGTTCTGTCCCATCAGCTGTCCAATCCCCATGCCTAGTGCTGCTTTTTTCCCACACCTTTGTGCCCAGCATGCTTTCCCTGTGCACCCCACCCACCAGCTCCTACGCTCATCACTGGACTTGCCTTGGAGCTCCTTCAAAGATGCAGGCATACATGAAATTTGGTACTTAATTACAGTAACGTACTCACGCAGGGCTCTTGGTACATGTTCCCATCTCACTCTCAAGCCTAGAGAAAAGGGTTGCTGTTTGCAGGGCCCTGCCGTTGTGTGGCCGGGCCAGGACCCATCAATCTCTACCCTAGAACTCCCTGCTGCTGCTCCTGGCCGCTTGCGTCGCAGCCCTCTGTGCTACATGGTCATTGAGGGCAGAGCAAACTACATAAAACAGTATGTGTTGCCTGGACTGGTTTGGCTCAGTGGATAGAGCATCGGCCTGGGGACTGAAGGGTCCTGGGTTTGATTCCAGTCAAGGGCATGTACCTTGGTTGCAGGCATATCCCCAGTGGGGGGTGTGCAGGAGGCAGCTGATCGATGTTTCTCTCATCGATGTTTCTGGCTCTCTATCCCTCTCCCTTCCTCTCTGTAGAAAAATCAATAAAACATATTAAAAAAAAATAAAATTAAAACAAACAAAAAACAATACGTGTTTGGGTCTCTCCAATGAGCATGGCTGAAATGACTCCTAGATTTCTAGCTGAATATCTTTTTCTGCTCCCAAAGCTCTGGCACCTAATTTGAGATGATCCAGGTTCTGTAAATTGGGTTAAAATATATACTAGTTTGCAGACTTTCGAAATAAAACTAAAATGGTATTGGTGGCAGGGTGAGCAGCACTTAAAAAATTCGATATTAAATTCTCACAATCTTGGACAAACATCTTTATTTAGTAAATCAAATAAATAGGGTAAAAAAATCATAGTAGCAACTTTACACAAAGATACAAGAACAAACTTAGAATTACTTGCTCAAGTTAGTCAGAATGGAACAAAATTCTTCAAGTGCTCACAAGTAGCACGGAAAATATGTGCTTACATTACTTGCTTTTCGATCGACATCTACTCGTTTACAGTAAGGCCCCACACTCCTTACAGTAAAAAAGCCCACTCCCGCCCCCTCTGGTGCACAGCCTAAAAGGCCAGGAGTGCAAATGTTAATGTAATACAAGCTTTTCTGTCTTTACAAGTTGATGAAAATCATCTTACAGCTTTTTACTAATACAGATTATCAACAGGTTCATTAAATCTTTAGCATACTAAGGGAAAGGAAAGAAAAGAACACAACCCTGCACTTGGGGCCCAGTCATCCATTTTACAGACATGGATCCCGGATTTCAGAATGACAGCAGGATCACTGTCCCGTCCCGGACAGCGGCAGGTACGTGGCACTGGGCACTGCACACGCTGTTTACTTCAGCTTCTTGGGTAGGGCTATGCACAGTGCCTATACATTTCTATATCATCTCTAGATGTATGGCTACGTCCATGTATGTCCTACCAACTTTATTCCTCACTGCAGATGCTTTAGTTTTACATCTACCAAATCTTGACAATGACATTTGGTTCTGGATTGTTACATCAAGATCAAGCTATATGAATGAGGAAAGTCAAAAGCTTATTCTCAGATTTTCAAAGATGTTTCAAGGATATTGATAAAGAAATCCTTATAAATAACTGTTCAGAAGCAAATATTAATCTACTAGAGGCCCGGTGCACGGGATTTGTGCACTGGTGAGGGGCATGGCCTGCGGGGATCAGCCCACCGTGGGAGCGCACTGACCGCCAGGGGGCAGTTCCTCTGTTGAGTGTCTGCCCCCTGGTGGTCAATGTGTCATAGCGACTGGTCGACTGGTTGGTCTGCTGTTCAGTCGCTGGACTTTTATTATATAGGATTGATAATTCTAAGAAACTGTACTATTTTTATCTATAAGGAATTTCACTAGGTTTAGATAAATTAACACTACAAGTAAAACTTTCCCAGGCTATTTAATCAAGTAACTTACAATGTACACATTCCTGAGTATATTCCATTGTAGCGACATTGTTTATTTCCAAATTTTTCTGTGCTTAGCTTAAGAGGTGTTTCTTTCCAAGAAACTGAACTTTTCTGTCAAATGCACTGGATCGAATAGGAGAATTTGGTTCATAAAATGGATTCATTGCAAACTAGGAAAGAAGAAAGTATTAGTGAGTTTGTCAGTAAAAAGACTGACAAATCATGAGTCTCTAAATTATTTTGAGCTTTAAATTAAAAGAAATCATTAAACACATTCAAAACAAGTCAGAAGATCACATTTTTAAGTTTCCATAAAAATGTTCTATTGTTAAATAGTAACTTCCCCTTAAGGAAATTTATTTCTCGGTGTTATAGTTTTGAGCAGTACCTGTGGTGAAACTGATGGTGGTATGATAAGTGTTGCCTATGTAAGCAAAATTAATTCAGGATTCACCCTGTGTGTGAATTACTAATCTTATATTCATTGTAAACATATGAATTAATCTGTAAGACCTACATAAAATACAAATGAAAAATGTGCCATATCATGGGTCTTTAAGTTAAGAAAAAGTTATACCACACTGATTAAAAACTACTCTTGTGTGGTAATTTTTTTAAAAATATATTTTATTGATTTTTTACAGAGAGGAAGGGAGAGAGATAGAGAGTTAGAAACATCGATGAGAGAGAAACATCGATCAGCTGCCTCCTGCACATCTCCTAATGGGGATGTGCCCGCAACCCAGGTACATGCCCTTGACCGGAATCGAACCTGGGACCTTTCAGTCCGCAGGCCGACGCTCTATCCACTGAGCCAAACCGGTTTCGGCTGTGTGGTAATTTTTTAATAATCAGGTTTTTAATACTCTCCTTTAACAAGGCTAAGTGGCCAGTTTCTCAGATAATGCAATGAATGTATCATAACAGTCAGAGAAAATTATTAATAACAAATGGAATCACTACTGAGGAAAGGAGTTAGCAATTTTTATACCTTAATCACTTTGTCTACCTTTATAAAAGGACTAGATATTCTTACTTGCTAGTGCTGACTAGGAATATTGTTAGCTGTATCAATATGCAAAAATCTTGTTCAAATACAGAACATTTAAATTATTAAGAAATACTGTTGTCAGCACTGCAGTTTAACCACTGATGTCCTATTATTTTATTTTTTTCCAATTAAATATCAAGAAATGCGGGTGGCACCAATCTCCTTGGGTGACTATTTGATAATATATGAATCACTTCCTGCTGGTTTATGATCGGTATTGATTGCACTGTAACTTATTTGTAAAGTAGATGGAAAGCATTTTAGATTGAAATTATAAAGCAATTTCTCTTATGGAGAATACTTCCTTCCCTCTCTTTAGGGTTCCCCAGTAAAATCAACTATATGCACCGAAAGGGGGAGAATGAAGTAGATTTTAAAATAACCACAAGCCCTGGCCGGTGTTTCTCAGTGGTTAGAGCATCAGCCTGTGGACTGAAAAGGGTCATGGGTTCAATTTCGGTCAAGGGCATGTGACTGGGTTGCAGGCTCTATTCCCAGCCCCCGTTGGGGCGTGTGTGGGAGGCAACCAATTGTTGGTTATGTCTGTCTGTCTCTCCCCTCCTACTCTCTCTAAAAAAAATCAATGGGAAAAATATCCTTGGCTGAGGATTAACAACAACAAAATAACTATGAGTTCTTTTCCTAAATACATGTTAATCTGGTGAAGACTTGCCTGATGAGGGAGCTGCCAGGGATGGTCTGACTGAGGAAGAGCTGCTCTGAGATGAAAACTACTACAAGGGAGTCACTTTGACAGGCCAGTTCCCTGCCGTTTGAATCCTTTTTATCAGATTTAAAAAGTTATAGAACATACATACCTTTATGTATAGTTCATAGACATCAGTAAAGAAGTTCTTTATTCCATCTTCTTGTCTTACGTCATGAAGCATAATAAATCTCATATGTGAAATAATTAAGGTGTAATCTTAGAAATGTAAAATGAAAAGCAATAGTTCAAAGTTAGGTTAGTTTTTACCTTAAAGAGAACATAATCTTTTAAAGTTAAAAAATAAGACCACCCTTGATAGGGTTCAGATAAACCTTAGTTTTATATACCAGACTTGGTTTTAAAATGATTTAAACAAAATGTATTTTTTCCCTGAAAAAAATAAAAGTAGCTACGTAAATGGCAATTTTTACCTGACACTTTAAAGTCCATCAACTTATTCTGGCATCTGTGTCCCATATTCTAGTTGGTTACCCCAACCTTTAGTTAGATATCTTTATTAAGAAGGTAAGGATATGACCTGCAGTAACAAATGCTGAAACAAACCACTCATTGAACTTGTCCACAGTTTTCAAGTACATGTTGTTTGACAGCCACATATTCTCATCCACCAGGTCAAGGGCAGCGTGGGCTATGAACTGGTTCAGATGACGATGGTCGTCCTAGATGACAGTGTGAGCAGCACCAGGTTAACATTTCCATACAGCATCAAGACAGCCAACATTTCAATCTGTAAATCCTATACAGTTCTTCTTGCGGGGGGACACTTTCTTTTTCTAAAAAAGTATATTTTTATTGATTTCAGAGAGAAAGGGAGTGAGAGATAGAAACATCAATGATGAGAGAGTCATTGATTGGCTGCCTCCTGCACGCCCCACACTGGAGGTCAAGCCTGCAACCTGGGCATGTGCTCTGACCAGAATCAAACCGTGACCTCCTGGTTCATAGGTTGACGCTCAACCACTGAGCCATGCCAGCCGGGCTACTTTTAAATTTGGTATCTAAAACTCAATAAATAGAAATAGCTGATTATAATATACTAATTATAATATTAATAAAATGTGTTCAAGAAACTAAAAAAATTTTAATTTTGCAAGAAGGAAGCTACCAGTTTCCGTAACCTTTTAAGCATGTGGGGGAAAAAATACTCTGTTGGAAAACAAATAGATCCTCCTTTCAAGAAGCCTGTAGCCTTTTAGAGCAGCGGTTCTCAACCTGTGGGTCGCGACCCCTTTGGCGGTCGAACAACCCTTTCACAGGGGTCGCCTAAGACCATCCTGCATATCAGATATTACATTACGATTCATAACAGTAGCAACATTACAGTTATGAAGTCGCAACGAAAATAATTTTTTAAAACATACTTTATTGATTTTTTACAGAGAGGAAGGGAGAGGGATAGAGAGTTAGAAACATCGATGAGAGAGAAACATCGACCAGCTGCCTCCTGCACACCCCCTACTGGGGACACGCCCGCAAAAAGGTACATGTGCCCCTGACCGGAATCGAACCCGGGACCCTTGAGTCCGCAGTCCGATGCTCTATCCACTGAGCCAAACCGGTCAGGGCGCAACAAAAATAATTTTATGGTTGGGTCACAACATGAGGAACTGTATTTAAAGGGCCAGAAGGTTGAGAACCACTGTTTTAGAGGAAGACAGGAAAAAATACCTAAGAGGTTGTGGATAAAGGACAGCAACATAGGTAAGCTGGGGCTAAGGACAGAGAGGTGACATTGGCACAGGCCTCAAGGTGGGGTGAGGGGGAGGCTTCCTGTGTAGTGACACCTGGTGAGCAGTGAAGACAGGCGAGGAGGTGGCACTCCTAACGTGTTGGCATGACTCTTTCAGGTGTAAGGAGTTTACAAGGCAGGGGGACCTGGGAGTGGCAGGAGGCCATGCTTAACCCTTGTGAGCACTCAGTCCCCTGTGTGATAGCAGGAGACAGTCCTGTCAGAGCTGGGAGTGTCCTTTTCATGGGCTGACAGAGCTGAACTGGAGAAGGTGGGAATGTCCCACCATATTGTGGAGGGGGAGTTCACAACCTGAAATGGTTTTACTCCTGAAGAATTCTTACTTTCCATATGCATTTTCAGAGAACACCTCTGTTATGGGTTGAATTGTACCCCCACCCATTCCTGTGTTGCAGTCCCCACCCCCAGTACCTTAGAATGCAGCCTTATTTGGAAAGAGGGTTGTTGCAGATGTAACTACAGTGGGGCCTTGACTTACGAGTTTTATTCGTTCAGAGACCGAGCTCGTTAAGGAGCTAGTTAACTCAAATTACTCTATCAACTCAATGCAAAAAATCGGCCGAGAGACTCAACCCTGGACCTCAGGATGGAACCTTATTTGGAGATAGGGCCTTTATAGAAGTAATCAAGTTCAAATGAGGTCATTAGGATGGGCCCTGACCCAATGTGACTGATGTATTTATAAAAAAGGGGACCCTTGGACACAGACACACCCAGGGAGAACGCCACGTGGAGACTGGAGTTGTGCTACCACCAGGCAAGGAACTACCAGGAACTAGGAGAGAGGCTGGAACAGATCCTTCGCGAGCACCTTCCCTGCCAAGGGGGCACGGCTCTCCCCACCCTTGAGCTGGGCCTTCTGACCTCCAGAACTGAAACAACATTCCCATTGTGCTAAGCCACCCAGGTTTTGTGCTCTGTGACGGCAGCCCTGGGAAACTGTACAGACCCTTTGCTGAGGAGGCTGTTCCCACAACTGGGCTGGAGGAAGGCTGCCAGTTACCCTGGAATCCCTCGCACAGCTAAGCATGTTTACTTCACGCCCGTTGCCAAGATGCAGCTAATTTAATCCTTAGAGAAAGGGATGTATTTCGTGTCTGGCTTATAGCAGCATTTTCCATTACTTTTCAGGGATGATCAATCTTGAGAGATTAGGAGAAAACTAGAAATGCTTTCAGAAGGTAAGTGGTAGCATCTTGCGATGAAGAACTTTTATATGCACTGCTTTATGTACCACCAGGCCCCAGAGTGCACAGGAACTATAACTGAGTAGCGGTGTAACGCAAAGCAATCACTGCTACAGAGATGCCTTAAACCAGCCGTGGGCAAACTACGGCCCGCGGGCTGGATCCGGCCCTTTGAAATGAATAAAACTAAAAAAAAAAAAAAAAGACCGTACCCTTTTATGTAATGATGTTTACTTTGAATTTATATTAGTTCACACAAACACTCCATCCATGCTTTTGTTCCGGCCCACCGGTCCAGTTTAAGAACCCATTGTGGCCCTTGAGTCAAAAAGTTTGCCCACCCCTGCCTTAAACCAAAGTTTTAATGAGCAGCGTGCTCACAGGGATGTGGGAAAATAATGTAGCACCAACACCTGGTAGGATAATTACTCACATTTCTATCATATTTTACTGGCAAGATCTGAATAGTTGACAAGCATCCTACACTAGACTGGGCATTATGCATTACAATGAATTTGAAAAATCAACTCCTGTCTTAAAGAACATTAAAGCTTATTTTTGGAGGTCGGGAGACACAGCACAACTTATAGGCAATTAGGAACGTGGACTGGTACAGAAAGATGGAAAGGGACCCAGCTATTCTCATCTCAAGGCTCTATGGCTCTGTTTATTCTGAATGGAGACGTTCTCCAACCCAGTTGTTTTTCTACAGCCATTCTTGATAAGGAAGCTGGGTGTGTCACTGGGGAGGAGAGCATATGGGCACCAGCCAGTAGATAAGGTAGAAGGTCACTGGAAACTGCCATCGTCTTGGGCAGCAGGAAGACATGTAAGTAAGGGTCCCTTTTAACCCTCCCAGGTGTAAATGGATCTACTATGTATGTCCTGGTGAAAAATGTGACTTGCTGGGGCAGAATGGGCTTTCATGGCATTTCAAGGCAGCAACGACTGTTCTTTCAGACCCACTATGGGTGGACCATGTTTCTATGCGCGTAAGGAGTAGCTTTTCCTAGTTGGGTGGCACAGTGGACTGAAGACCAGGAAAAGAGGCCCAGAGCATCCTCCCAGTACATGCTAAGTGTGCCGATAAAGGATGAAGCAATTCATTGAACCTTCCCTGACTGGCTTCTACCAGCCCATGGGACTCCAGAGCAAACCTCGCTTAATTGTTATCTCATCTGTCCAGATCTCCAGTTCGAAAAGCACATTACACCATTATCATTACAACAGCGTGACAGTTCTCACGGGGTTTGTTAAGGTTCCATACGCACTTTGGATTCTGCTTTTCCAGGTGGCAGAAACTCCATTTCAAAAACTGGATTGTCATGGTGGCCAACAATCACGAAGTAGAAGCTTCCAGACATTGTCTCCAATATATGGCTCCTAATTAAATGAAAAGAAAATGCATGTTTAGTACTCAAGACTGAAAACCAAAAATGGTTAGCTGGGAGCGTACAGTTCCGGGGAAAGTACAACCGAGGTGTGCCAGGGCCCAAGATGCATCATGCCTCACAGGGACTCCTGCTGATTCACTCAGAACATGCAACAAAAGCCAAAGAAGTCCGAAATATATTTCCTAATGAACGCAATGCTTTGTAAAGGAAATCAGGCTAGAGCTGGCGCATGTAACCCAGGAACTGGAAGGCCAGGTCTGGGAAAAAAGGCAGGCAGGAGACTCTCTTGGCATGGTGAAGTAAGTAGGATTTAAAATATTATTTGGGGCAGGGGTTGTTACACTACAGCCTACAGGCCAAATCTGGCCTCATCTGTCTTACTATAGTCAAAGGCTGCTTTTGCCCTACAGTGGCAGAGGTGAGCAGTTGTGATAGGGATCGCCTGGTGCTTTACAGAAAAAAATGGTCCCTGTTTTAGGGGAAAACGAGAAAAAGGCCCAACTAGTAAAACTGGATAACCAAGACAAGCAGGAATGATACAAAAGCCGTGCAAAATAGGAGAATTGGCCAGAATTCTCAAGAGAAAGTGAGGGGAAGAGGGATGGGAGCTTGAAATGTTAACCAAGTCAGCAATGACATCATTCATTTTTGCTGGAATAGGTTTCCTAGCTGGAGTTTGCCAAGGGAAGGGCTTACTTCACAAACATTTAAGCAGCAGAGAGAAAAGATAAGGCAGACACCTCCCCCAATGCACATTTAAGCAGCAGCAGAAGACAATTAATGTATAAAGGAAGATAACCACCCGCAAAATACTTCTCTCCCGTATGGAAATCCATGACTGGGAGAGAAGCATGGTGCTAAGTACCGAGTGAGGACAAACAACAAGGAAACTGAAGGAAATACCGCATAAAGGTTGTATCACAAACTACACAGCTGGGCAGGCCTTGAGCTGCCAAGAATTTGATTTCACAAACACCTGGAGAAGGGAAGTAACTCTCTTCAATTATGACAAGGAATAACTGAACAGTGGGTGAAGTGGAAGGAAAAGAAACCATACAACCACATAGTCTCAGGAAGGGAATATCTACAATCATTTAATGTTAGAGGGCTTACTATGCCTAGGTAGTGGGCAAAAGGGAGACACTCTCTAGAACTCTGTGCTGTCCTGTATATGGAACTTTCTGCGAGAATGGAAATGTTCTGTACCTGCGCTGTACGATCTAGTAGCCACTGGAGATTAAGGAGCATTTGAAATGTGGTTCGTGTCTGCAGAACTGAATTTGAAATTTTATTTAATTTTAACTGATTAAATAGCCACACGTGGTTCATGGCTACTGTATTGGACAGTGTAGCTCTAGACCAGTGGTTGGCAAACTCATTAGTCAACAGAGCCAAATATCAACAGTACAACGATTGAAATTTCTTTTGAGAGCCAAATTTTTCATTTTTAAACTATATAGGTAGGTACATTGTTATTAACTTAATTAGGGTACTCCTAAGGCTTAGGAAGGAGGAGCAGGCCTAAGCCAGCAGGTGGTCATCCCCCAAGGGGTCCCAGACTGCTGGAGGGCAAAGGCCAGGCTGAGGGACCCCCCGCCCCGAGTGCACACATTTTTGTGCACCGGGCCTCTACTACTTTAATAAAGCCAATTTTTAATAAACAGGGAAAAGGAACCAGTTAGAGCTACTGAAGTTGTCCAAACAAGAATTAATTGAGTTTTCCTAGCTTGAATGGCTCAGTTGGTTGGAGCATGGTCCATGGCACTGAAAGATTACTGGCCCGATTCCCAGTCAGGACACATACCTGGGTTTTGGGTTCCATTCTGGTTCTGGTGTATATGAAAGGCAGCTGATTGATGTTTCTCTCTTACTTTGTTGTCTCTATCTCCTTCTCTCCCTTCCTCTCTCTAAGCATATCCTTGGGTGAGGATTTTTTTTTTTTAAAGAAGTAATAGAGTTTAACTACTGTAGTGATGAGGAATATAAAAGAAGGTGAACAGACTTAAAATATAATTTGAAAGAAAAATCTATAGGACTTAGTAATGAAATAAATATATGAGATAAAGGAGAAGGAAGAACCAAGGTTGATTCTCAGATTTAAAAGCGAGAAATTGATTGGACAGAAATGTCATATACTAAAGGGGGAAAGATTGGAAAACATATTAGCAATGTATAAATTCTATTCCAGTAATAGTTCATTATAGCAATATTAGCTAATAAATCTTGGTTTGAACATATGTTTGAATAACATTAACCTACATGGTAGAAAAGCAAAAACAAACACTCCTGGAGTTCCTGATTAGATAATACATTGTCATAGGTTGCTATGTCACCCCAAACCCAAACTAGCAGTGTCTCATAATTAGAGAGTGGTTGATAAATCCTATCAATAAAGTCTTGGGATCTTCATGAAGAGCATCCTAGACAGGAGGGCTAGGTTCATGAATCAAGTGAATGCTTCCTTAAGTATGCTCTTTGCTCTACTGACACCACCCTGGCTGCATTCTGCAATGCTGTGAGGCAAAAAATAAATTTGGTGAGACCTATGCTGCTTCAGGTGATAGGAATACATCAGGGTCTGTCCCAGACTGTCTGATACATAGATAAGATGTCAACAGGTATTCAGGTGCAAGTGGACAGGTGTAGCCCTTAGATTTATCATCCTCTTTCTTCCCTTACTGTGGAATAAGTAAAAAAAGAAAAAAAAAAAAAAACACACCAAAAAACAGAAGGATGGTTTAATAGCTCCATTGGAAGCTATAAGACAATAAAGCCAAACTTTAAACAATCTAAGGAAAAATTTGTCTTCATATATTGCTGGGGTCTTATCCGCAGCTGCAAGGGTTCAGGAATCTGGAAAAGGGCTGCAATGTAAATTAAATAAACTAGACATGAAATATAAATTTAGGAGGCATGGGGGAGTCAGGGGAGGCTCCACTTTCTAGTGAAGTGGACTCTCTGACTGTCCAGACCCATGGCTTTTTATTTGCTGGGAAACACATTGGCCCTTTAAGAATGCAAACAGGTAAGGTTTGATAAATAGGAAAAGATTTTCATTAGTCAACAGAGCCAAATATCAACAGTACAACGATTGAAATTTCTTCCGAGAGCCAAATTTTTTAAACTTAAACTATATAGGTAGGTACATTGTTATTAACTTAAGTAGGGTACTCCTAAGGCTTAGGAAGAGCCACACTCAAGGGGCCAAAGAGCCACAGTTTGCCGACCACTGCTCTAGACCAATGATTGCAAACCTTTCTTTTATTTTTTTTGACAGTTCCAGGATTTCTTCCACCTTCCCTCCACCCATGAAGTATTACTTAAACTCCAATATGTAACACAAACAATACAAATAAAGCACCACAACATCTGTGTTTGTGTAAGTTGTGTGTGCCTGCTCAACCTGAAGTAGGGGCCCTTCGAGCATCTGCAAGGGAGACTAGGCCTCGAGGCGTGGAGGAGGGAGCTACACAGAACTTGGCAATGGATTAAATGGAGAACTGAAGATGTTTCCAAATGTTTGGCTGAGGTGATCAAGCAGAATATCAGGATGCCATGCTATCCACTGAGAAAACAAATAAGGGAAGGAAGAGGGATGCAAACATGTCAGTTTAGATCAGGGGTGGGCAAACTTTTTGACTCGAGGGCCACAATGGGTTCTTAAACTGGACCGGAGGGCCGGAACAAAAGCATGGATGGAGTGTTTGTGTGAACTAATATAAATTCAAAGTAAACATCATTACATAAAAGGGTACGGTCTTTTTTTTTTAGTTTTATTCATTTCAAACTGGCCAAATCCGGCCCGCGGGCCGTAGTTTGCCCACGGCTGGTTTAGAACATGGTGTGGTAGCCAGAATAGCCCTCCTGACCACCTCCTTCACCCCCCCTCCCCCTCCCCCGCCCCAAATGTCCACATCCTAATCTTGGGAACCTGTGAATGAATGTTAATTTACCAGGTAAAGGGGAATTAAGGCTACAAATGGAACTAAGGTTGCTCATCAGCTGACCTTAGATAGGAGAGGATCCTGGGCTACCCAGGTGGGCCCAATGCAAGCGCAAGGGGCTTTAAAAGTGGAGGGAAGCACGAGAGGAAGTCAGGTGACTACAGGTCCTGGCTTTAACGATGGAGGAAGAGGTCACCAGTCACAGAATACCGGTGGCATCCAGAAGCTGGAAAGGACAAAGGAACAGAGTCTCCCCAAGAACCGAGTCTCCCCAGGAGCCTCCAGAAGGGAACACAGCCTCCTGATACCTGGATTGCAGCCCAGTGAGACCCACATTGGACTTCTATGCTAAGAACTGCAATGTAATGCATTTGTGTTGTTTCAAGCCACTAAATTTGTGGCAATTTGTTAGGGCAGCAATACGAAACTAACACACATGTCAGAGCTGGAAAAAAAACATAAAACCTCCCTTGCAGGTACGAGAAAAAAGGAAATATTCAAGGAAGCATCAGCCAAAAGGTAAAAGTGCATTCTGTAAAGAGAGCCGGGACATAGGGAGTTCATTTACCATGGCACACGGGTAGCAAAGCATTGTTGGAAAGGTGGGTCTGGGGCAACGGTGCGTCAAGATGGACCTACCTTAGGGCAATAAGGGGAAAGAGCATGGAAAAGAACAGGGACTGTGGTTTTTTCCAGCCTGAATCCCTGACACCAAGCCTAGTATATAATAAGTGCTCAATGTTTGCAGAATGGAGCTGCGGAGGTGGGGGGAGGGCTGTAGTTTACAGTGTGAGATGACCCTAAGAATAGGGGAGAGGGAATGCTGGAGTGAGAGGCAGGGTGGGATTAAGCAGCCTAGCTGAGGCCTGTGGGGTGGGGAGGAAGGGGAGTACTCAGAGGCCTGATAGCTGGAGTCTGTTCAAGCTATTAACAGCAAGGTTGTGAGAAGTTGCTGAAGTTCCTTACATAAAGCAATCCTCCATTACAAGGGGCAGGGCTTGTTGCCTGAGGGTAGGGGAGGCAGGACTGCACCTGCAGTGAGGACAGCAGCAGTCTCTGGCTGCTAGGGTGACTTGCGCTGCTTTTGGGAGAGAGACAACTAAAGAAATCAAGGTGGTGCTATAAGGAGCTCAGGGCTACCTTGAACTCAAAGAGGCTGTGCACATAATGTAGGAAGTAGGGCACTAACTAGTAATGAACACAGAAATGGGACCTGGGACCTTCAGAAACCTGTGAGGCAAAAGCCCAAATGAGCTGAAATGTGTGGACTAAGTTAAGAAAAAGAAAGCCTTTTTAGGCTACAGTCAGGAAAAAGCAGGGGAGAAAGGCCAACTGCTTCAAGCACCTGGTATACAAAGTACAGAGGATGCAGATCTGCTGAACTTCAATTTCCTTAAAAAGCATGATTTTCCAACAGCAAATGTGGAAGAATCAAGGTTAGGCAGGCTATGAACCTCAAGATGGGAATATTAAAAAATCTAGACGTTTCAATAAATACAAGTATTCAGTTCTCAGCAAATTACATATCTTGGATTAACAAATGTGATTATACATCTAGTGATCAGTGATATTTGAGAAGTCGCAGGAACAGAAAAGAGCCGTATCATCAGATACAGGTGTTATTCCTATTTTCAAAAACAAAATGGTTTATCTCCTAGTCTATAATTGGGTACTTTCTTTTTTTTTTTTTAATTTATTGATTTTTTACAGAGAGTGGAAGGGAGAGAGATAGAGAGTTAGAAACATCGATGAGAGAGAAACATCGATCAGCTGCCTCCCGCACACCTCCTACTGGGGATGTGCCCGCAACCCAGATACATGCCCTTGACCGGAATCGAACCCGGGACCCCTCAGTCCGCAGGCCGGACGCTCTATCCACTGAGCCAAACCGGTTTCGGCAATAATTGGGTACTTTCAAAGAAATGAAAAGACCAATAGAAATATGTATTAAATGGCTGCCTTTGGTTAGACGCCATACTGAGAGCTTTTATTATACATTATTCAATGTGGAGCCCTACACAAAAAGAGTAGGTAACCCCTGGTTATACTGAGAACAAGTCACGCCAAACTTAAATTTTATGTTTTGGAAGGGAAATTAGGAGGCAGTAAATCATTTTGGGAAATAGTTTGGTGTACACCTAGAAACAACTAGACCTTTAGCTTGTATGATAACACAGTCTGGTATCCCCAGAGCTATAACAATGCTGGGGCCCAGAAAACACTCCTTATAACAATAATTGTGAGATGAAGCCAACTTATCACATTCAAAGATATGCTAAGGGCAACACATTTATTAGAAGGCAAAAGGCAAGATTCAAAAATATCGCCACAACTAAGAGAACTAAGTGTGACATTAAAAAAGTAGAATTTAATAGGATGCAAAATAAAGTCCTGTACTTGGGCTTGGAAAAAATGAACTGCACAACAGGGTGAGGAAACCTAGCTTAAGAGCAGTGCATCTACAAGCACCCATTTTCATTTATTGCAAACTCAATAAGAGGCAGCAGTCTGAAACAGTGGTCACAAAAAGCTAATGCAATACCAAGCTGCATTAAAAGAAGACAATGTCCTCTTCACAAATAATATCATCTCTGGGGAAGTAGTCAGTTCTGGGAACTGCATTTTAAATGAATCATAACTGAACTGTGTGTGGGGGGAGGAGAGTGGGATCTAGGCTAGGGAATGCTCTGGACAAAAGCTACTGAAAAAAACTGAGGATGTTTAAACTGAGGAAGGGAAAATACTTTTTTTGGGGGGGGTGAGGGTGAGGAGCAGTGTCCAGCACAATGTCATCTGTAGAGAGATACGCTGTCTAATGGAAAAGGGAGCTCACTAGGAATGGCAAATGGGTTTCCTTTCCTGAGCAAGTTCGAATCACTGGTAGTGACTGCCAGGAACTGGTGCTGAGATTCTGAGACTTAAGTGTGGTCAGCGGGAAAGATCGCTGTGATTAATTATCCACTGTCATGGGTGGTGGTGGGGGAAGGGCAGTTGGCCTACGCGAGTGCCAAGCAGTGACTCTTTTTGCCACCATGCAAAGCATTCCCATTAAAGCCCAGATGAAGTCATACTTTTCCCGCAGAGATGTCTCTGCGGGCTTCCATCTTCCACTCTCTTTTTTTCTAAATTCTACTCGAGTCTACAGTAATCTCAGCCCACCTTCATCTTTCCCACAGCATGCAAAAACAAAATTTAGCTCACTGATTTTCAACTAGAGACTTTTGCCTCCCCGAGGACATCTGGCAATGCCTGAGACATTCACGATGGTCAGAACTGGTGCGGAGGCGCTGCATTTAGTGGGCAGAGAGGCCAGGGACGCTGCTAACCACCCCGCGGTGCACAAGACAGCGCTCGCTACAAAGAGTTTTCGGGCCCCAAATGGCAATAGTGCCGCGGTTACGAAGCCCTGGGCTACTGAGTGACCTAGTAAAAGGCAAAAGATGCAAAACCCGGAGCTGGCGGAGCTCGCCGGATGCAATGCCTGGGCTGTGATGGGACCAGCGGCCGGGGGCTGGCCGGGTTGGGCCCGGCGCCGCAGGCCGCAACTGGGTGGAGAGACAGGGTTAACACCCAGATCACGCGGCCCCGGATGTCCCCTGAAGCGCCCGCCTCCTCCCCCAATCCTCGCTCTATCCCCTACCTGCGCAGACTTCGTAAGAAAGTATCCACTGAGATCCCGCCGCGGCGACTCGCGCTCTGAACTTCAGTAAGGAAGCCGGGCAAGCTCTCGCGAGACTCGGAGGCTACGCTCTCGCGATAAGTGGGCGGGGCTTCGGCAGCTAGTAACGCGGGCTCGCTGGCGCAGGCGCAGTAACGCTCCGGACTTAGGT